CTAAGGAATTTACAAGGCTCTCAAAACCAGACTGAGGAGCCACGCCCTCCAGCGCGCTCACATGCAGCACCTTCAGGTGCAGTGACAGTGTATGCTTGCTTTTGTTTCTCCCAAGAATTTACGGGACCTTTGCCAGGAATTCAACTAGGATGGAAAAGGGAAATGGCCTGGAATCTTGGGAGTAGCTGCAAACAAAATAGTGGGCAGTGAAGTACGAAAAGAAGTTCTCTGCATGGAGCATGCCAGATGTAACCTTAGGAGTCTGTAGAACTTTTCAGCTGCAGAGGCAGAGAGCTCTGAAGCTCTGCCTGGCATTATCTGGCAACCAGCTGGTGAGGACAAAGCTGCGTAGACTGCTCTGCATCCGGAAGCTGGACCAGAGCTGACTCTGGTGGGTGTGGCCTGTTGGCAGGAAGGGCAACCGAGGGCTCATGTACTGTCCTTCTGGTCACTGCAGGTGCGGTTCCTGGAGCAGCAGAACCAGGTGCTGCAGACCAAATGGGAGCTGCTGCAGCAAATCGACGTCAGAAGCCACAGAGTCAACCTGGAGTTCAGCTTTCAGGAGTACATTGAAAAACTGACAAATCAATTGAATGCACTCTTGGCAGAAAGAACATCGCAAGATTCAGAGCTGAACAACATGCAGGATCTCGTGGAGGATTTTAAGAAGAAGTAGGTGTCAGAGTAAACACTGAGTGAGAAAAATATTGATCTGAGTTGTTGGATCTGTCCCCCAGAAAACCACTCATCTCCCAGTGGCGTTTGTGGTGATAAAAGGGAGAGGCATCTGAGTCTTTGTAGACTATTTGTGAGGAAGATATTTAGGGCTTTAGAAGTTGTGTTTTGTCCATATTTGAGGGTTAATTTATAGAAAGCATCCTCATTTGATATATCATAGTTTCAACTGAGACAGTTAAAGAGTGCTTAATATTGCCAGAGGATGAAGTATTTGGGGTGAGTCCAGTGGAAAAAGGGAAAGAGTCAACAAACTAGAACCAATATAATGGCTGTGTCCCTGGGTCCCAACAGGTATGAGGATGAAATCAACAAGCGCATGACTGCTGAGAATGAGTTTGTGACCCTTAAAAAGGTGAGAGAGAGAACGTCATGGCTGGGGCGGGAATGAGGGTGTTTTAGGGGCCCATGGTGTCCAAACAGGCTGAGAAAAAGCAGTAGCCAGGGGAAGGAGTGAGGCGTGTCCATGGTTGGTTTTACTGGCAACCAAAGTGTCTCTGTAGGTTAAGTTTCTGGAGTTGTTCTGGAAATTGGCTAGAGCATTTACCACCAATAAGCTTCTTAAAGTGCCTATTGGATCATGAAAGATAAAAACACAGAGAATGCTTAATTTTTCTCCTAAAGGGCTGAGGAAGGAATGGACTTCTCTTAGAATACCTGCCAACTGATAGGGTCAGTTGTGCTGGCAAAGGCTTGAGTTAGAAGGCAAGTGGGTTCTCAGCCTGGTGCCTACAGAGGCTTTGGTGTAAAAGCCAGAGAATTCGGGAGAGGTGGGCTGGACAGATAGGATGAGTTGAGGACTGCTAAAAGCCACTGAGACCATTGTGCCCCACAGTGGGAACACAGTGTCTCAAGCTGGAGGGAGAGAATGGCTCACAAAGCTTGGTCCCATTAGAGCTCCGACAGTGTCAGGAGACA